TGGTGTTACCAAGTACAACAGTAACATCAAAGATCACTGGTCATAGATTATCATTACAAGGATAATAACAGAGGTTTAAATGTTGCAAGAATTACCAAAATGTGACACAGAGATATGAAGTGAGAAAATGCTATTGAAAAGTGGCACTGACTCAGACATAAAAAAGAATAAAATAATGTCATTTGCAGCAACATGGATGTACTTACAGATTATCATATTGAGTGAAATAAGTCAGACAAAGAGAAATATATGATATTGCTTATATGTAGAATCTAAAAAATAATAATACAAATGAACTTACTTACAAAACAGAAATAGATCCACAGACATAGAAAATAAACTTATGGTTACCAAATAGGAAGTGGGGGAAGGGATAAATTGGGAAGATGGAATAAACATATATACACCCTATATATAAGATAGATAACCAGCAAGGACCTACCATATAGCACAGAAAAATATACCCAATATTTGTCCTAACCTAAAAGGGCTTCCCTCATAGCTCAGTTGGTAAAGAATGCACCTGCATTTTTACAGCTTTGAAAATCTTAAAATATTGACTATTATTTAGTGAATTCCTCAAATGATATAACAATTTTATTTTATGTCTAGCAAATAAAACCTTAAAGATAATTGTGAATATTGCTACATTTTTATTAATTTATCAATATAAGTTAAATTAAGAACTTAAATTCCAAAGAAACTGAAGGAAACAGTAATAGCTAAAATAATCTTATCATATATAGAATATCAAAATTTTAGTTTTAAAAACCCAGCAGCTGAAATGTGTTGACTTGAGAGCAGTTTGCAGAAAGATTATATTAGAAAGGACAAAGTCATTCAGAAAAGCAGGAAAAAATGAGGTGCTATGGAAGGAAATATGCAACTGGTGAATAAAATTCAACATTAATCATAAATTGAAAATTTTGAGACTTTTACTTTTTGCCTAGGATGCAAAAAGTTGAAAAGAATGTTTCCAACCTAAAGACAAGAAAAAGTCAGATAAATTACAAAATCATAACTTGAGATCATCAGAGAGATCATGTCAAAGGGAGTTCAACTGAAAACCCATAGGCAGTCTGCTTCAAGGAGAAATGAAGTATAAATATAAACAGTGACTTATGTGGCAGGACATGGTGAGGAGAGATAGTGGATACTGTTGAGCTAAAGTTTTAATGAATTTCTTAAGGCCAAGTGAGAGTATTGAAATCTTGGGAGTCATAGACACAGAGAGTCTACATTCACGCACAAATTCTTATTCACAAACTTCCAGTGGATGCTCATGAGTCAAACTAGGAACCAGGAGTCAGAGATGGGAAACAGTGACTATGAGAAAGACATGAAGCTCCTCCTAGAAATTTCTCTCATATGGTACAATATATTTACAATGATAGGGAAAGAAAAATGAATGCTGTCATTCCCAAGGAACATATGAAGACCCATTGCAACTGGGGAAAAGGCAAAAGGATAAAAAGGACCCTTTTACCTCAGGGGGAAAGACAGAAAAATTCCTGGCACTAGGATCCTACACTAGCTCAATTATGCATGGACAGAGGAGACTGGTGAGCTACAGTCTATGGGGATGAAAAGAGTTGGACATGTCTGAGTCAGTAGGTATGCATGCATAGTACTTGGGCAATGGGTGGGAAACTCTCTTGCAAACAAGGCTCATCAAATATTCAAGTCAGAGTATGGTTGCAGTGTGAAAAGAAGAGCATGATTATTAACAAGGCTCCAGTCCAGAGGCTTAAGCCCTGGGCTTGCCTAAGAATGAGGCTGGATCAAGACCACAGAGAAACACCTTGTCTCTTTGTGCAAGCAATAGCAGTGACTTATGAAAAAAGTTCCTGTGTGATGCAAGTACACAGGATGTTTTGCCAAAAGTTTTCACTTTCATCTCAGGTTCAAAGGATTTGTTAACAAAATAAGCCACTCATTATATACAAATAAATATTATAGATATTTATTAGAGAATTATCTAGCTTACTTTCAACATACTAACATTAAATGAAAACAGAAATAGAGAGCAGAGAGTACATCAACAAATTGGGTTTTGACCAACATCCAGACTTAAACAGCACTGTGTCACAGCACATCTGGAGTCCCAATTGGGAAAGGGTCCCAGGCGGCACGTCTGTGGGTGAGACTTCCAAGATTGCTGTTCAGGGTTCCCGCTTATAATCCCAGGACAGGTGCAAACTGATATCGTTAACAATATGTGACCAAACTGCAAGCCTGGTTTCCTGTTAATGCTGTTTCTTTTGTTGTATAAAACTTGGAATGTAGTTAAGCCTGGGGCTTGGTTGATGAGACCTGCTCCAGAGTCTCAAATCTCAAGATTTCTCCCTCATCTTACCTATGGAGCTGCAAGTCTTGCGCTCACACCAGGCAGTCACTCCCAGTCACTCCCAGTCAGAGCAGTGTCCAGGCAGGTTAGAAGCAAGGTCAGAGGCCTGCTCTGCTTTGTCTTTGAAGCCTAAAGATGACTAGTCATTTAATTTCCCTGACAACATGGAAAACTGAAAGTTGAGAACCAGCATAAACAATCAAACTAGCAAAAACAAAACCCACTGGAAATATGGGTCCATTCTTGCCTGAAAACACATGCTAAAGCAAGTTGAAGTAAAGTAGTACAGTGAAAGTTACCATAACAATGCCAAAACAAATTTAGCTCAACCCCTGATCAAACTGACTCACCTCTTCTCACCCTTTCGCATTAATAGACTAACAGAGGGAGAGACATGCACATTACAACCACAAATACCATTTATCTGAGTCTCTGCTGGTCCATATAAGATATATGGTATGCAATGAAAAATTATAAGATGTAAACACACATACACAAACACAAAAAAACCCACAACAATCTGGTCAAGAGACAAAATAATAGAATGACTCAGGTACAACCTGGATGTTGAAACTTCCAGACAGGGATTTTGACATAACTTGCTAATGTGTTAAAAATCTGTAGTGAAAAAAGTGGACAATAGCATTTAATGTGTAAGGGATTTCAGCAGAGAGATAATTATAAGAAACATTTGTAAATGCTAGAACTAGAAACACAAACTGAACCACAAAAGATAAATAAAAGTGAGCAGAATGTATCATGGCACTCAAGACCTGGGGGCAACATGAAACTCTTTAACATATTAATACAACTGGAATCTCAGATGGAGAAAAATTTTGATTTGAGACAATCCTCTTGATAGCATAAACATTTAAATGTTATAAAGTCTTTCTCTTAGCAGTGCTTTATCTGCCAACCACAAATACTCATATGTTGAATTTTTTTTTTCTATGATATTCTCTTTATCCCATAGATTATTTAGAAGTGCGCTGCTTAGTCTTCAAGTGTTTGGAAATTTTCCTTTTATTTTACCATTATCGTGTTCTAGTTTGATTCCATTTTGGCCAGAAAATATAAACCATATGATCTGAAGATGGTGACTGCAGACATGAAATTAAAAGATGCTTACTCTTTGGTAGAAAAGCTATGACAAACCTAGAACAGCGTATTAAAAAGCAGAGACATCACTTTGCTGACAAAGGTCCGTATAGTCAAAGCTATGGTTTTTCTAGTAGTCGTGTACACATGTGAGAGCTGGATGATAAAAAAGGCTGACAGCTAAAAGAACTGATGCTTTCAAATTGTGGTCCTGGAGAAGACTCAAGAGTCCCTTGAACTGCCACCAGATTAAGTCAGTTAATCCTAAAGGAAATCAACCCTGACTATTCATTGGAAGGATTGATGCTAAAGTTGAAGGTCCAAAACTTTGGCCACTAGATAGGAAGAGCAAACTCGTTAAAAAAGACTTTGATTCTGGGAAAGATTGAAGGCAAAAGGAAAAGGGGACAGCAGAGCATGAGATGGTTAGCATCACCAACTAAATGGGCATGAATTTGAGCAAACTCCCGGAGACAGTAGAAGACAGAGTAGCCTGGAATACTGCATGGGGTTGCAAACAGTCAGACTTAGTGACTGAACAACAACAACAAAATGATTTATTTTTAATTAACTGACAATTTTTTATGGCCCAGGATGTGATCTCCCTTGCTATATATTCCATGGGTATTTGAAAAAAAAAAAAAATCTGCCATTGTTGAATAAGTGTTGTATAAACGACAATAAGATTCTGTTGATTCATTGAATCTTTATTTTATGCTACCAATAATTGTCTATCTGATATCTGATCAATTGTTAAGAAAATGAGTATTAAATTCTCAATTGTGGATTTATCTCCTTGCAGGGCAGAGAAGTTAAATAAAAAATATTCTTGCTTTCATCTGACTAAAATATTTACATTTTCTTTATATTTCTATTTTATTCCTTTTAACCTATGCATATCATTATATTTGAAGTGAGTTTCAAGTTTTTAATTCACTTTGCCAATCTCTAGTTTTTAATTTGTGTATTTAGACTATTTATATTGAATGAAATTATTGATGACTTAAGGCTTAAATTGACCATTTTATTTTCTGTTTTCTTTTGTACTTAGTCTTTATTTTCTTTTTCCTGCTTTTTTTTGTGGATTATTTAACACTTTTAATAATCCATTTTGATTTATCTTTAGGGTTTTTGAAGTATGTTTTCAGCATTTTCTTTTTTAGTGGTTTCTCTTGGTTTACATTATAAACACATGTATCATCATTTTATCAGTTCAAATGAAGTATAGCAATTATGCCATCCTCTACATCCCTTTACCATCTATTTAAAGTAATATTAAAATAATACCATTATTTTAAATACAGCTGTCTATATTTAGAACCACCATATTATAATTGTTGCATCATGTAACATGCAATCATGTTGTCAAACATGATTCAGAATACTCTAGAGTAGGAAAAAAGGCCTATTGTATTCACCCATATTTCTATTTGCTGGTTTCTTTCTTCTTAACATAGCAATGTTCTTTCTTCTTCTTTTTTTTTTTTTAACCTGCTGATTATCATTCTGTTTAACTTTCTCTGTTGCTATGAAATTTGGTGATACTGCTACTTACCCCAGTCTTGAAGGGGTGTCTTTATGTGTGAGCCACCCTATGCAGTTGTGTGTACCCAGTGGCTTTGATAGGAGAACTGGGTCTGAAGCGAGCATGGATCACATCTTCTTCCAGGGTGTGCTGGCAGCTATCACCTTGGTTGGAGGTGGGGCTGGAGATGGAGTGGTTAGAGCCAGTGCCGGGTGTGAGCCAGGCTTCTCCTCTGCTCAGGGACCATCACTTCCCTGCTCTAATCAGGGTCAGAACCAGGGCCCAAGGTGCTGGAGCAGAAGCTCTGGGAGTTGGGTCCTATCTGGTTTCCTTGCCTGTAAGGGTGTACTTGCTCAGCAAGGGCACTCACCACCCCAGTGGAGGGCAGAGGCAGAAAGGGCTCCAGCAGTCACCTGGTGTGGCCTGGGGTACATGCTGGGACTGTCCCACCAGGCTTGTCAGAGCCCCAGGCAGTCTCCAGCACACTGCCTCCTCATGCTCCCTGGAAACCGTTGCCATGGTCCCATTCAGAAGCATTGTCATGTGTAAGCTGGCTCCGCTTCCTCCATGCGTGCGGTCCTCCCCTGGCAAGGGCACCTTTGCCCCAGTGGAGAGCAGCAGCAGTCCTAGAGAAAGAGGGGCTGGAGCAGGCCCCCAGTGTGCATTGGGGTGCACCCTGTTGTGATTACAGGAAACTGGCCTGAGCCTCAGGCTATTTCCAATCTGCTGCCCATGCCTCATTCCCACGAGTAAGCAAGGGTGTGCCTGTACATTTCAGGAGTTGAGAATTGGCTTCTAACAGCCTTCTGATAAATCCACTGGTTTTCAGACAAGCTAAACACCAAAGAGAGTTAATTTTTCCAACGTTAGACTCCACAGCTGGGGAGCCCAGTGAAAGTTTTGTGTACTTCTGCGTTTTTGTTTCTGGTCAACATTTCTTATAAAGCATTTCTAGTGGTGATTAACTCCCTCAGCTTTTGTTTGTTTAGGAAAGCCTTTATTTGTCCTTCATATCTAAATGATAACTTTGCTGGGTAGAGTATTCATGGTTGACAGTTTCTACCTTTCAGTATTTTGAAAATGTTATTCTACTCCCTGTTGGCCTATAGTATTTCTGATAACAAAACTGCTGATAGCCTAATGGGGGTTCCTTTGTAAGTTGCCATCCATTTTTCCATGGCTCCTTTTAAAATCTTTGTCATTGATTTCTGACAATTTTAATATAATATATCTTGGAAATCTTCTTTTTGCTTTGCGGTAACAAGCTGTTCTCTTAGGTTCATGGACTTGTGTGTCTAGTTCTTTTCTCAGGTTTGGAGAGTTCTCAGACATTATTTCTTCAAATAAACTCTCTGCTTCTTTTTCTCTCTCTTCTCCTTCTGGGGAACCATAACCTTAATATTACCTTTCCTAAAATAATAGACTAGCTCTCATAGATTTCCTTGTTTAAAAAAATTTAATTTTCTTTCCTCTTCTAATTGCATCATTTCTGGACTCCCACCTTCAAGATCACTAATTCTCTCTTCCACAAGGTTTGCTTTATTTGCAGTGCTTTTGAATGCACTCTTCAACTTGTTTATTGAGTTCTTCAGCTCCAGATTTTCTTTAGTTCTATTTTAGAGTTTCAGTTTCTTTGGTAAAGTATTCCGTCTGTTCACTCTGTTCATTAATTTTACTCCTGAGCTCACTGAACTGCCTTTTTGAATTTTTTCATGACAACTATTTTGAATTCTCTGTAACTTCAAGCTTGGTTTCTGAAGAATTATCTTTGTGTGCATATTGGGGGAAAGTATAGTGTTATTGTGTTTCCTCATGGTGCTTGATCATTTGTTTGCCTGCTCATGCACCTGAAGGGAACACCTTTTCTTAAAATAAGGATTCAACAGGTTAGAAATTAGAGTCTTTTCTGTTGTTTCCAATAGGTAGTTTTATAGCGTAAGTTTTTGATTGCTCTTACCTGCACTGTCGCTGATTTTTTTTTCAGACATAATAGACTTTCTTTTTCATTTTTTCCATTTGAAGTTTATTAACAAATGCACAATTAATGCAGATTGTGTTGAATTAAGACATAATGTGTCAAGTGGATATAGACTTGACCTAAATACATAAGATGATCAACCTCAACAATCATTGGGGAAATACAAATCAAAACCAAAGTATAATATTGCTTCACAACCACAAGCATGGCTACAGTCTAAAAGATTGAAAATAATAAATGTTGGTGAAGATTTGGAGAAATTGAAACTTCCATACATTGCTAGTTTGGTAAACATAGTAGCAGGATATGACCCAGCAATTCCAGATACATTCTCAAGAGATATGAAGACATGTGTCCCTGATCTTTAGGAGAAGTCTTCGATCTTTCATCATTGGCAGTGTAGTTTTCCTAGATGCCCTCCATCAGACTGAGGAAGATTCCTTTCATTCCTAGTTTGTTGTTATTGACAGGATGTTAGATTTTGTCAGATGCTTTTTCTGTGTTATTGAGATGATCATGTGGTTTTTTCCCTTGATTTTACTGAAACAGTGTATTACATTGATTGCTTTTCATATGCTGAGCCAACTTTCATTCTTGAGGTAAGTCCCCTTGGTGGTGGTATATAATCCCTTTCATAAGTTGCTCAGTTTGGCATTTTGTTGAAGATTTTTGTTTCTGTATTCATAACAGATATTGGCTTAGTTTTCTTTATTGTACCGTCTATGTCTGATTTTGGCATCTGTCTCTGATTATATTTGAGAGTTGGCACTGTTGACCTTCCACTGCCTTGTCAGAGATGTCACCGAGTTCTCCTGGTATTGGTGCTTGCGCCTCCAGGTTTGTTGGTGTCTTGCTGCTCCAAGTGCTGCTTGTGTTGCAGCTTGGAGCACTGGAACGATGGACTCGTCTGCTGTGCCCCTAATTTGCGGGCTCTGTAACTGTGGCGGGAGGGAAGTGGTGCAGGAGGATCTGGCGTCATGGGTGCTCCTGCCATGTCATGTGTTGTTATATTCATGGATCTTGCTGCTTCCAGTGGCGAGTGGAGGACTGGGATTGTTGGTGCCCTTGGACTTCCTTTGTGGCTCAGCTGGAAAAGAATCCACCTGCAATGTGGGAGACCTGAGTTCAATCTCTGGGTTAGGAAGATCCCCTGGAGAAGGGGAAGGCTACCCACTCTAGTATTCTGGCCTAGAGAATTCCATGGATTGTATAGTCCATGAGGTCACAAAGAGTCAGACATGACTGAGCGACTTTCACTTGGCAACTGAAGGGATGGGGTTCCAGACTTTACTGACACTGCTCCCCAACTGCCTGTGCTAGGAGGCTGGTGTTGTATGAGCTACCTTCCCTGATTCTACCAGGTTCTACCGGGCTGCCGGCTCTCAGCTGTAGGGCTGGAAGCCAAGATTTCAGGCACGGCCTCCAGTGTTCCCCAAGTCCTGCATCTATGTGTTCTAGTCCACCCATCTCTTGGTGTGCAGATAAGTAGAATTCTCCTGTGTTCTGGTATATTGGGCAGAGGCACTTTTTGGAGTTGTAGATTCTTTACTTCTAGATTGAAGAGGAGAAAAAAGGAGTATCTCAGTCTACTATCATGCAGAAATCTCTCTACATTCTATTTCTTTGCTGAGGTTTTCTACTTTTTCATTTGTTTTCCATAGCTGCTTATTAAAATATTTTAATGATGACTACTTTAAAATATTTGTAGATAGTTTTAACAACTTTGTCATATTTGTGTTGGCATCTATTGACTTCCTTTTTTCATTCAGTTTTATATCTTCCTGTTTCTTGGTATAAGCAGTGAGTTTTGACTGATACCTGGATATTTTTGTATGATATTGTGAGACCATGGCTTATTTAAACCTATTTTAGATGGATTTGTGTTGACACTACCTTGGCAGGAGAAGATTTGCCTTGCCACTGACAGTTGGAAATAGAAGTACAAGTTTCTTAAAACAGTGTGCTCTGTTGACACATGGTTGGAGAGTCCTCATTATTGCTTGGCAGGGTTAGGAGTTTGGGAGTTGCAGTTCTCCATGTGGTCTCCAGTAACACTGCAGGGTAGGCTTGTCAACCAACCAGGAGAGACGAAAGGCTTGTCTCCCTACTTGCTCATCTCTGAAACCATCCTGGCAGGGAGAGGACTGGGGTAACTTTTATAGTCTTATAAGGATGAAGGCGTAGGCTCCTCACTTGGTTTGTGCTAGCATGATTGAGGTGGAGCCACATCCCCCACCCCACCTCCTCCTTTGGTGTTTGAATGAATGAAGTTGAGACGGTATTTTTTATTTTAATTTTTTAAGTCATCTCTTTTGCTAGGCTGCCCCTTTCCTGCTTCCTTTGGCTATTGTTGTTTAGTCTCTAAGTCATGTCCTACTCTCTGTGACTCCATGGACTTGCAGCACACCAGGCTTCCCTATCCTTCACTATCTCCCAGAGTTTGCTCAGATTCATGTGCATTGAGTTGGACTAGCTCATGTGCATTGAGCTTTTGCTGGAGTTTCTGCTTACACGTGCCTATCATTAGTTCCAGTTTGCCAATTTCTTTGGCTACATGTCTGGATATAAGACATTGCAAGGAACTCACCCCTGTGTCATTCTGTGGGTCCTATGGTTCCTAAACAGGCTTCCTCCTTTCTTCTTCATGAATTGTCCTTATTGGGGAGAATAAGAAGTACGTTTACTCTGTCTTCCCGGAAACAGAAGTCTCCTTGTTTTCTTCTTTTTGTTTACATTTGATTCACTAGTGCTTTGTCTTTACTATTTTCTTATCTTCTAAATTCATATATTTTTACTGATAAACTTCCAAATATAAAATATATTCCTTTAGGATAAAATTATTTGAGGAAGATGAAATAGAGATACAAGTT